GGGTCCCGAATACCATCCCCCACCCCCGCCGACAGAGTGGTAGGACCACCAGACATGGGCAACAGGGGCTGAAAGGGTGACACTCCAGAACCCACCTCCGCGTCAGAGTCTTCCTCCTCATAGGAGCCAAAAACAGGGGCATCAGACCCAGTTTCCCCACTCTAGTCGGAATTTGACCCATCATCCTGGGCAGGCACTCGTTTCCAGTTCCTGGTGGATTTTTCCCAACCAGTGTCTCTGTTGTGAGGTGATAACGTGCCATCTTGGACCACCAGAGGCAAGTCAGTCAGATCAGGTCTATCCTGTATCAGTGGCAGAGGGGATATATGTTTAGTTTTGACTTTGCTCACCAGGGCCGCCTGATCAACTCGGGTTAAGAGTGAAGGGGTTGGGCTTTGGTTGTGTAAAAGGGCCTGTGCAATAGACTGGGAAATGGAGGAGCACACAGTCCCCATCACAGAGGCTGATGTCCTCTGAATGGAGCCCGCCATAGTGGAATCCAGGAGGGCCTGGAATTCCTGGGAGGGCAGCAAGCCCATGTCCTCCGCTGCAGAAGGCAGCAGGGGCTCACGGTTGGGGTAAGTTAGGCCCTCAGCCCCATCTCCACGTGCCTGCATAATGGATAATGACAGCGCAGCACAGAGGTGTGTAGTAAACCTTCTTATGGAGCCAGGAGCTGTAGGCCTGTTACCCAATGGCAGTACCAATGTGCAGGCTAAGCCAGACAGACAGCGTTGGCCCGAGCCAGAGCCTAATACTCTCAGGGAGGTATGACACAGGCCTATAAAATCTAGTAAGGAAACTCAGAGCTAGGCAAGCTATATGGGTAGCTAAAAACTCAACATCTGAGGAAAGGGATTTAGGGGTGATTATTTCTGATTATTATTATTTTGATATTTATAGAGCGCAGCCAAATTCCGCAGCGCTTTACAATGGGTGGACGAACAGACATGTAGTTGTAACCAGACAAGTTGGACGCACAGGAACAGAGGGGTTGAGGGCCCTGCTCAATGAGCTTACATGCTAGAGGGATTGGGGTAAACTGACACAAAAAGGTAAGGATAGTATTAGACTAGTGACAGTTGCAGACGAGGAATCTTAAAGGTAGGCAGACAATGTAATAGAGCAGCATAAAATGCTAGCAGACTGCTTGGTTGTATAGGGAGAGGTATTAGCAGTAGAAAGAGGGAAGTGCTCATGCCATTGTACAGAACACTGGTGAGACCTCACTTGGAGTATTGTACACAGTACTGGAGACCGTATCTTCAGAAGGATATTGATACCTTAGAGAGAGTTCAGAGCAGGGCCGGACTGGGGAAAAAATTAGGCCCGGGCATTTTTCAATCAGAGCGGCCCCCTAAGAAGGGGGCGGGGCCAGAGTGGGTGTGTTTTGTCATCACTAATGACAAGCACGCCTCCTCTCAAAGTGAGCATGTTGGTTCAATGCGCAGAGCTGCGCTGAAGAGCTCTGGCATTAGAAAAAGGCCATGTATTTGTTCTGCGCAGCGCAAGCAAATGTAATAACATGCTTGCGCTGTGTTTGCTTTTAAATTGTCTCTGGTGTCTCAACAAGTGGGATACCAGAGGACAAAAGGGCCAGGAAAGTGTATGGTGCATGTGTTTGGAGCCTGCTTGTGGAATTGCGTGTGTGTAGAGTGTGGTGTGGTATTGTGTAAATAGGTCAATTTCATATGTGTTTGTGGTGTAATATGTGTGGCTAGGGGCTGTAGAGAGTGTGTGTATAGGTGGCATAGTGTTATAGGGGATGTAGCGAGTGTGTGCATACGGGCTGTAGTGTGTGTATAGGTGACGTAGTGTGTGTAGGGGTTGTAGAGAGGGTGTGTTTAGAGAATTTTATATGTGTTTGCTGACAAGAATGTAGTGTGTGTGTAGGTGGTGCAGTGTGTGTGTAGGAGATCTAGTGTGTAAAGGACCCAGAGTGTGTATAGGAGATTGTGTGTGTGTGTGTGTGTGTGTATAGAGGATTAAGAGTGCATATAAGGTAAGGGATCTAGCGTGTATCTGGAGCGTAATGTATGTAGTGCTGTAGTGTGTGTGTGTGTGTGTGTATATATATATATATATATATACATACATATATATATTTTGTATTGTATGTGTGAGGGGCGCAGTGTGTGTGTATGTAAGAGGGGTGCTGTGTGTGAGGGTGTTTTTATCTGCCGTCACATTCTAATTTTCTTTGTCTGTTAACTCACTGAGGGTTATTTTATATATTATATATATATATCTGTAAATATTAGAGAAAATTTATTGATACTTACCGTAATTTTCTTTTCCTGGCTATTATTCATGGCAGCATTTAACATATGGGTTTAGCTCCTCCCTCCAACCCTCAGGACAGGAAACACAATCAATTAAACAATTAAGCCTACCTTCCCCTAGTATATTAGGTTCCCCAGTATCCCCCACACCTCAGTCTAGTAACAAGACAAATAAACCAAGAGAGGGTGGGAGACCAAATGCTGCCATGAATAATAGCCAGGAAAAGAAAATTACGGTAAGTATCAATAAATTTTCTCTATTTGGCTAATCATGGCAGCATTTAACATATGGGATTACCAAAGCAATAACCACTCAGGGAGGGTAAGTCATGCTACAAAAACTGTTTAATATCCACTTAAGGCTTATAAGAGTTCAGGACCGATAGGCCAAACTCTGAATCAGAACGGGATGAGATATCCACTCTGTAGTGATGTACAAAGGTTTTTAAAGATGACCAATTGGCAGCTTTACAGATGCTCTCTGCAGGAACTCCTGACTCTGCAGCCCATGAAGTAGCAATGGACCTTGTGGAATGTGCCTTGATGTCCTTGGGAACTGGAACCTGTTTAGCTCTGTAAGCTTTAGAAATAGCCTGAACCGTCCAAAAACGAAGGGTTGCGACAGAGGCAGCTTCACCTTTACGAGAACCCCAAGGTATCACAAACAATTGGGTAGACTTCCTCCAATCAGCTGAGCGTGAAATATATGTGGAAAGACACCTCCTTAGGTCTAGCGTATGACATCTTTCTTCCTCAGGAGACGATGGTTCCTGAAAATACCCTGGCAGGACAATCTCTTGATTCAGATGAAAGGATGTAACCACCTTAGGAAGGAACTCAGGTCTAGGCCGTAGCACAACTCTATCATCGAAGAAGGTAGTGAACGGTTCTTCAGACGACAGTGCCCTAATATCTGACATTCTCCTAGCAGATACCGAGGCCAGTAACAACAGGGTCTTGAGAGAAAGAACCTGCATAGAGACCTCATCAATAGGTTCGAAGGGATGTTCCGTCAAGGCCTGCAGAACCAGAGGCAAATTCCAAGGAGCAGAGAAAACCTTGATAGGAGGTCTGATCCTAATGACTGCTTTGAAGAAGCGAATAACAATAGGATTCAATGCCCAACGAACACTGGAAAGAGCTGAAAGAGCAGAGCAGTGCACTTTAAGCTTGTTAAGTTGAAGGCCCCTCTCCAGGCCTGCTTGCAGGAAACCCAAAACCTGAGACACGGAACGGAAGGGGAACCTAATTCTTGAACCGTGGAATTACACCATCGAGCAAAGGTTTCCCATACCTTATGGTATGTAGAAGAAGTAGAAGGATTCCTGGAACGTAACAGGGTAGAGATAACCTGGTCCGAAAGGCCATGTTCAACTAGAGACTTCCTCTCAATAGCCATGCATGGAGCCTGAATTTGTGAGGCTCCGGATGAAACACTGGACCCTGAATCAGCAGGTCTTCTGAGACTGGAAGTTCCCAAGGCAGGTCCACTGATAACCTCTGTAACAGGGGAAACCAAGGGCGACGAGGCCAGAATGGAAGTACAGCTATCACCTTGCAATGTTCCTTGGAGATCTTTCTCAGAACAGCGTGGATGAGGGGAATTGGAGAAAAAACGTAAGCCAGATCGAATACCCAATTGATGGATAGAGCATCTTGAGCAACCGCCTTTGGATGGTATCTCCTCGACACAAAGCATGGAACCTGAGCATTCCGAAAGGTCGCCATGAGGTCTACTTGGGGAAGACCCCACTTCTGGACCAACCGAGCGAAGATTCTCCTGGAAAGTTGCCATTCTGAAGCCTCTATCCGATGTCTGCTGAGGAAATCCGCTATTACATTCTCCTTCCCTGGGAGATAGATGGCACACAGGCCTTCCACATGATTCTGAGCCCAGGTCATAATGGGAAACATCTCTTTCATCAGGGCTACACTCCTTGTTCCGCCTTGATGGTTTATGTAGGCAGCAGCCGCTTTGTTGTCCACTCTCAACTTGACCCAGCAATGCCTGATGAGATGCTGAAAATGAAGAAGCGCCAGAAAGGTTGCTCTTAGCTCCCTGATGTTGGAAGGCAAGCATTGAGTTCTTGGAGGCCAATTTGCTTGAAAAAATTGATTGCCTAAATGTGCCCCCCAACCTGTCAGACTGGCATCTGTCGTAATGACCACCCAATCTATTTCCCGCAAGGGGAACCCCCTGGAGAGATTTTCCCACGACTTCCACCAAAGGAGCTTCTGCTTCAGAATCAAAGGAATGCGAATCAGCGTCTCCCACTCCCTCGAGTCGGTCCTGAAATTTTTTAGGAAAAATTGTTGAAGAGGGCGAAGGTTCCACTGAGCCCATCTGACAAGTTCTATCGTAGAGGAAAGAGTCCCCAGAAGCCTCATAAACTCTCTCGCCGAGGCTGAAGTCTTTAGTCTGAAGTCCCTTATCCGATCTCGAAGTCTGATCTTTCTGTCGTGTGAGAGGGATACAATCGCTGTGTCTGTATTGAAATTTGCTCCCAGGAATATCAGTTCTCTTGAAGGATTCAAGTGACTCTTCTTGTAATTGATGAGCCAACCGAAATGAGATAGAGTGTCTAGGACTAATTGCCTGTGTTGGAATATTGATGCTAGGTCCGGAGCCACTACCAGGATGTCGTCCAGGTAGTGAAACACCGCTACACCTTCTTTTCTGAGCAAAGCAATGATGGTGACCAGAACCTTCAAGAAGGTCCTCGGGGCCGTACTTATACCAAAAGGAAGGGCCTGAAATTGAAAGTGTTCCTTCCGGACACAAAACCTGAGAAACCTTTGATGGGTGAACGTGATAGGGACATGAAAATATGCATCCCTGAGGTCTACTGATATCATCCAATCTTGGTGATGAACAACCGGAATGATGGAGCGAATGGATTCCATCCGGAATTTTCTGACTCTCAGATAAAGGTTGAGCTGGTGGAGATCTAAAATAGGCCTCCATTTGCCCTCTGGCTTCTTGACCAAGAACAGGGGGGAATAATATCCCTGGAATCTTTCTTTTATGGGTACAGGTATGATGGCTTCTTCCGTAAGAAGATTGTTGACATAAAGAGTCAAAACCACTCTTTTTTGGATGTTGGCTGGAAGCCTTGTGCGAATAAACCTTGGTGGAGGTGGATATTCGTCGAATTCCAGATGATAACCTCCGGTGATAATGGATCTTACCCAAGCATCTGGAATTATTTCCCAGGCCCTCTGAAAGAATGAAAGATGTGCTCCCACTCGAGGAACCTGGAGTAAGCCACCTTCAGAATTGCTTGTTGGGGCGAAAGGAAGAGGTCTGCGTCTTGCCCCTAGAGGATTTCCCATTCAGGCCGCTCTTCCAATTGGAATTCCTTGAGAATTCTCTGCCCGGCCTGTAAGTCTTACTTTCCCTAAAGTAGCCTTGATCCCTAAAAGGTCTACGGTCCAGACGAGGTCTCTTTGGACGCCTATCTTGTGGCAGCATGACCTGTTTAACCTCAGCTGCCTTTTTAATCGCTTCATCCAGAGGTTTCCCAAAAAGCACTTCTCCCATAAAGGGAAGTGAGCATAAATTATTCTTGGATGACAGGTCTGCTCCCCAGGATCTCAGCCAAAGCGCCCTTCTAGCTGTGACTGAATGTGCCATAACCTTAGAAAGAATTCTAATGAGGTCAGTGGAGGATTCCAAAAGCCAGTCACTGGCGAGTTTGATATCCCTTAAGGATTCCGCCATCTGACGTCTACTGACCCCTTTATCTATGTCATCCTCCAAGTCAAGCAACCAAGAACGCATGGCTCTAGACAAAGCCGAAATGGACACAGCTGGATGGCAACCTAAACCCGCTGTCATGAAAGCTTTAGATAAATCAGCATCAATCCTTTTATCCATGGGCTCCTTAAGGGAAGCATTGCTATCAATTGGTAGCGTGGATCTTTTAGCAACCTTAATGATAGGAGCATCAACTTTGGGGACCGTAGTCCACAATCTGGAATCCTCCTCTTTAATCGGATATAACTTCGAAAGCTGACCCTGACTAGTAATCCTCTTACTAGGAATTTGCCACTCGTTCCTCATCAGGTCTTTAATAGAGCTGTGGACTGGAAAGGAAGGTCTTTTCTTATGTAAATCTCCAAAGTGTCTGTCAGAAGCTGAACATTCTCTGGTTTCTTCCGGCAAATCCAATGTTCTTCTAACAGCCATAATCAAATGCTCCATAGCTTTGGAGTCCAAGGAGCAAGGTTGTTCCATATACTCCTCTTCACTGGACGAGATTGGCTCCAAATCCAGGTAAGATGAAGTTTGTCTGTATTCATCGTCAGACTGATCTGAATCCATGCTGAAGTTTTCTCCTCTTGATCTCTTAATCTTGTGGGATTCAGCAATTCCTTCAACCACTGCCTGCTTAATCCAATAAGCAATATCCTTGGCTGAGGAGGTAGAGGCTTGCGGTGACCTCTGGCGATCAGATTCTCCTGCGGCCATGTTTAAGCATTTTCTGCAGAGCCTGCAGTTATCCAAAGGCCTTGCTCCACATCCAGGGCAGGCTGCCGGCTTCTCCCTTCTCCTCGATGGGGATCTGGGACAGGACCAGTCACGAGGGCTGTAAGATACAGAAGTCATAAGACTGTACCCTCTGTGCACTCTTTTTAGAAACGTGAAGAAACCAAGAAAAAATATTGCTCACCTATGACCTATAGCAGATCTCGTTGATCTTGCAGAAGGGGATGAAGGATCCATACTGACTGTAGGGCTAAGAATGTTAAAATAATAAGAAAAGTATTCCCAGCCCAATATTATGCTGATTTTAAAATATAAGTAATTCTCTTACCTGCAGAGCTTTAAGAACAGTCTACTAGAGCACTGTATCTTTAAAGGGAACGGAAACGAGCGTTTTTTAAGCTAAATACCGCCATTTCAAATTTCCCGCTCTGTACCTTTAAATGATCGCGCATGCGCACTTCGGTCGCGAGATCGCTAAACTGCCATTTTGGAAAGGGGCAAACTTCACTCTGGGTCCGGTCGGATGCATTGCGCATGCGCGGGCGTCTTACCGTTATGCTGATCGTCTGATCGAGGTCTGCAGCACCCACTGGACTGCAGAGGATTCCCATAGCCTGTGGAACTAACCACCCAGGCTCCCAGGGGTTCCCAACTCCATGGAGATTGGGCTACATGTGCCTGGGCTTCCTGAGGAGGGAGGCTGACCTCCAAAGGGACAAGACCATATAAAACATGGTCAGGTGAGCAAAAAATAAAAAATAATTCAGAAGAAACTGAAAAAAGAAAAAAAATATTTAAACTGTCCTAGGGCTAGGAGGACAGGAAAAGACTGAGGTATGGGGGATACTGGGGTACCTAATATACTAGGGGAAGGTAGGCTTAATTGTTTAATTGATTGTGTTTCCTGTCCTGAGGGTTGGAGGGAGGAGCTAAACCCATATGTTAAATGCTGCCATGATTAGCCAGGAAATATGGTTTGTTCAAGCTGTTATTTAAGTATAGCTCAGTTGGGCTGTCAAATTATCGTCATTGTTTTTTGTAATTTATTATAGTAAGTTTTGTATGTAAATATTAAATTAGTAAGGCATTACTATATTCTGATGAGAAATTGATGTTATGTCTCAGAAACATACATTTTTGTTGCACAGAGAATTTCATACACTTCTGTAAGTTTTATGTCATAATTACAAAATTACCATTTTAAGATAAATAGGAAAATGACTAACCATATATTCTTTATTTAAAGGACAAAGGCAAAAAGAAAGAAACTGCAGTGCCATTATGGGTTTAAAGTGATTCCATTTTACTATTTATACCATTAGAGTAATAAATAATTCTGTTCCCTAACAATACTAAAATTATATAAATTCAAAAGAAATAAATACTTGACACGAGTAACAAAGTGGGCTAACTAATTTTACATTTTATTTTTATAGTGTTAGTGACATAAATACATACGGTAGCCATTTTTCTTGACAAAGGGGTGCACTCTTTAAAAAGTGTGTCTCTCACTAAGGCTCTCCATATAGGATATTACCAATATGTTACCTGTGCTAAATGTTTCTTTCTTTTGACTTCATTTAAAAGGATATCCAAGATAACTACTTTGTTTGTGGATGAAGAAAGAACAGGAATGGAAGCTGTTGGTCTCAGACTATTAGTTAAATGTTTAGAAAATTGTCTCTATTACCTCTAAACATATATAGTGGATGAAAAATTTGCAGAGTTATTCACTAAAGTAAAAATTTAAAGTAGAAATATTCATAGAAACATAGAATGTGACGGCAGATAAGAACCATTCGGCCCATCTAGTCTGCCCAATTTTCTAAATACTTTCATCAGTCCCTAGTCTTATCTTTCATTAGTCCCTAGTCTTAAAGTAAATGTCAAATTGAAGTCTTTTTTTTCAATTCATCTTTAATGAATATTTAAAAAAATATATCTTTTTTTTTTATCAATAGACATACAGTCACATTCTTATCATACATCCAGGTGCGTAATTTAGCATAATCTAGCAATATTTTAACAGTCATATAATAAATAGACTGTTTGGACGGATACTGTGTCTTTCCAAAGGAAAGATAATGCAGATACTGTAGCGTCAATTCAACATAAAGCATAGGTCTTAAGGCTCTGTGAATGGGGGCAATCTAGTGTTAGATCATTCACAGGGTAGGTTGGTTCAGAAGATCACTGGCCTGGCTTGACACTTTTATAATGTAAAATCCACGGATCCCATATTTGTTTATATTCATATGGAGTCTTTATATCTTTATTAAAGTATAATGTTTCTACCTCTCTCTGAAAATGTATTTGGGTTTTTATTTAAATCCCTGTTGGAATGGTTGTATTTCTCCAATGTCGAGCTAAACACATTTTCACTGCAGCTAAGATGTTAACACATAGATATCTATTGTATCTTCCTGTAACAGGTAGATCGATATGAAACAGGAAAACTAACGAAAAAAGTGTTATTAATTGTTTTTCAATACATTTTTTGATGGGAGCCAGTCTCTGGCATTCCCACCAGATGTGAATGTGTGTGCCTGGATAGTTTTGGCAACGCCAACAAAGGTTATCTAAATTTATATCAAACTTTGCTAGGTGTGTAGGAACCATATACCATCTCTGTGTTAACTTAAAGTATTTTTCATGTAAACTAATACAGTGCATGGCATTTTTTTTCGTGCTTTGCCAGGCATTGTTCCAAATCTCTAAAGAAACAGTAAAATCAAATTCTCTCTTCCATCTAGAAACCGCTTTAGATTTATTTAAGACAATTCTCCTATTTAGAGTTTTGCCAACTCTAGCAATTGTTTTGATGTTGAGTTGTGTAGTATAAAGTGTGTCTATTAATCCTGGATGATTTGTTAATTCAGAAAAAAATTCTTAATCCGACTAGATTTAAATATTTCTAGTGATGGAAGAGCATACCTTTCCTGTAAATTGGAAAAGATCTTAAAGATTCACTATCATAAAGATCTGAGATTATTTTAATATCGGAATTTTGCCATTGTAAAGTATCTACATCTTCTATATATAGGGGAAGAGACAAAATAGGACTAGCTCTAGTAAAGAAATTTGAGGTTTGTCCCTTTTCAATTCTCTGTCTGAATCTAAAAAAAAACCATGTCATCAGTACCGATACTATTTGATTCAATATTTTAAGTTGTCTAAAGTGTTCATAATCCATCCAGAGACAATAATATGGATCTATCCCTCCTCCTTTCTATATTGTACCATCCCAGATCTTTACTTCTTTTAATGTTTAACATAAGTAAATGGGAGAGCATACATGTTTGATTAATTTTATGTAGATCTGGATATCCCAGTCTTAAAGAAAGATACTTGAAATTAGGAATATAAAAAGGACACAATTTGAGTTTTTGAAAAAATAATTTCAAAATAGACTAAATGACTATAATATCCTAAGAACCTCTGGAAAAGTGCATTCCAGAAAATATATTGTTAAAAGAATATCATCTGCATAAAGGAAAACCAGATGGTCCTGTTGTCCAGCCATTATTCCTTTAATTGTAGCTGTCTTTCTTAATAAGGCCACCAAGGTTTCCACTGTCGGAACATATAGAAGGGGAGCTAACGGACAACCCTGATGGGTACCATTTTGAATCTTCACAATCAAGGAATTAAAGAGAGGGCCAGTGATTCTTGCGGTGGGACGCGTGTATAGTGCCATAGTCCTTTCAGCAAATAGACCT